TAGGTGCTCCTGTACTGGGTGCGTATATGTTTACCAGAGTTATATTTTCTCGTTGAATTGCTCCCTTTAGTATTATGAAGTGACCTTCCTTATCTCTTGTTATGGCCTTCACTTTGAGATATAATTTGTCAGATATAAGTATTGCTACCCCAGCTTTTTTCTCATTTCCAGTCGCCCGAAAAATCTTTTTCCATCCCTTCACCATCAGTCTGTGTGAGTCCTTTTTTCTGAGGTGAGTTTCCTGTAGACAGCAGATAAATGGGTCATGTTTCCTTATCCACTCAGCTACCCTATGTCTTTTGATTGGGGCATTTAATCCATTTACATTTGAAGTTATTATTGATAGGTACTTGTTTGTCACCATTTTTATTCTTTACCCCTGTGTTCCTTCTTCATTTCCTATTTCTTCTTTTTACAGCAGACCCTTTAGCATTTCTTGCATTCCTGGTTTGGTGGTAATAAACTCCCTTAGTCCTTTTTTGTCTGTGAAGCTCCTGATTTCACCCTCAATTTTGATTGATAGCCTTGCTGGGTACAGTATTCTTGGATTCAGACCCTTCCTTTGCATGAATTTGTATATTTCATTCCATTCCTTCTTGCTTGACGTGTTTCTGTTGAGAAATCAGTCACTAGTTTGATGGGGGATCCTTTGTAGGTAACTTTCTGTCTCTCTCTGGCCGCTTTTAAGATACTTTGTCATTGGTGTTTGCCAATTTAATTATAATGTGCCTTGGTGTAGGTCTTTTGGGGTTCGTTTTGTTTGAGACTCTGTGAGCTTCTTGGATTTGTGTGAGTTTTTTCTTCCTTATACCAGGGAAGTTTTTTGTCATTATTTTTTCAAACATATTTTCTATTCCTTGCTCAGTTTCCTCTCCTTCTGGCACCCCTAGTATGCAGATGTTGTCTCGTTTCCTCTTTTCCCAAAGTTCCCTTAGGCTCTCCTCCTGTTTTTTTAACTTTTTTTTTTCCTAGATGCTTCTCTGCTTGGGTGGTCCTCTGCTTCTTCTAGTCTACTGTTGATGCTTTCTATTGGGTTCTTTATAGCAGTGATGTCATTTTTCATTTCTTTTTGGTTCATCTTCATTTCCTCTTGTTCTTACACATATTGTTGAATTTGTCTTCCATTCTTTTCAGCCACCTTATGACCATTTCTCTGAATTCTTTCTCTGACATATTGCTTGCCTCCTTTTTGTTTACTTCCTTTTCTGGTGATGCCTCCTTATCTTTCATTTGCGGGCTGTTTCTTTGTCTGCCCATGATCTCTCTTCTCCGGGTGTCTGATTATGTAGCTCTCTCTCTCTCCATCCAGCACTGCGCGTAATTCTCCAAACGTCTCTTCCGCACGTCCTTTTTCCCCTGGCACTAAGCAGCTGGCACACTGGTAAAATCCGAGGCTGCTTTTTTGAGCTCAGTCCAGCTATGGGATGATTTTTAGAGTTCCCTTCTTCCAGCAGCCCTGCAGATCCCCTTCCACCATTGCGGATCACACTGACCCCAACAGCCGCGGACTTTGTAGGGTGCAGACTTCCCCTGTGTGCGTTTCTCTCTCCAACCTGGATTGCAGAGCTCACCTTTCCCTAGCCGAAATCTGACCTTTCCGTGAGGAGGAGCAGGGCTTGTCCCAGTCCATGTATTCTTGCTGCTTAAGATCCGGTGATCCTGGGTTCATAGCTGGTCCCTGGGTGCCGTGATTGCAGGGTCCCAGGATGTATACGCTTCTGATAACAGCCACTCTCCCCTTCAAGACGGCATGGTCTCCATGGCAGAGCTGGCTGCAGCGGGAGAGATTTCCTTAAACACACTTTAAAAGGAGTCTGATCTCCATCTGTGAAACTCAAAGAGAAAACATAAATCGAATGAATTGGTTTTCAAAATGTGACCATTTTTGTCAAAAAAGGAGGTTTCATGCTGATCATTTTAAGCCCCAGTTTATGTAGAAGCGTCTCTCACCACAGGCTGGTAAGTATATTTCTGGACTTAAAAATCAATATCTTTATGTCCTAGTGACCTTGCCATTGACCTTCATAGCCTGGTTAAGAATATGGTTGTTGCCGCCCAGCTGCCTGGTTCAAACCCAGCTGTGTTACCCACTATCTGGTTGACTTTAGGCCAGTTACTTTACCCCTGATGTCTCAGTTTCCATGTCTGTAAACTTGGAATAATGATGACATCACTACTGACATGTAGTGAGAACTCAATTAATATTTGCTATTATTACATGGCCTTTATGTTGAAGCATGTCTCTGCTGTGTATATCTATCCCAGCTAATAAGATTGGTCACCTGTAGCTAAATTAGTTTGTCATAATGAATAAATCATTAGAATAGCTTTAATGAAAAAAGCATTTGAGACATAAAGGGAGAGCCTTTTCATCACAGATGTATTACATTAAAAGATACATAAGCAGCACTAAGTTTTTAACAATTTAAAAATTCAGAAGGAAATCCTTTTCCACAACCACAAACCTCTCTTTGGGTCAAGTTGTTCTTCCTTCCTACATAATTCAACTCTGCTTGAAATCATATTGGATTCTTCACTACACAAGGGCAGGATTTGTCAATTGTTTTCTTAGAAGTGTGAGATGTAAGAAAGTCACAAGATAAAATGGGTCAAAAAGTAAAATTTTAGCATCTTTATATTATTTACTCTAATGAATTCAACTTAAGAAATGTGTATTGTGGGGTTAATATGTGGTCAACCACTGGGAATTTAGAGGCAAGTAAAACAGCTTTCAGGCCCCAAGCAGGGGGGAGAGACAAAATACCAATAATTAGGCATGTCAGTGTCTACCCAGGAAGTGAAATTGCCATGGGGAAAGGCAGGTGCTAGGAGACCTTACATGGGATGATGTCCTGGCAAAGGGCCCCAGGGAAGCTTCCCTGAGGAAGAGATATTGGAACTAAGATTTGAAGAATGAGTGGAGTTAACAAAGGAGCATGGGACTGGGGAAAGCATTTCAGACACAGGGAGCCTCTTGGCCGAAAGTCCCAATGAGGGAAGGGGCGGGGCTTGCTTAAGGTGCTGGGACTGGGACTGTCCACTGCATTAGAGGGTGAGCAGGAAGAGGAGCTCACAGCTGCAGGAGAATTGTCAGCAGTGACGGCAGGCTGGTTCTGCCTGACAGGGCTGGGGAGGGGAGCAGGGACCCCTTCTCCCAGCACTTGGGCCCCATTGAAAATGGAGGCCTTCACAACCCCCAGGTGGGCTCTCTGCCTTCCTGTCTAGTCTCCCAAGGCTCCAGTGACTCCAGCCTCTGCACGTGCCTACCCCAGGTCTTTGCATATTCCTCTGTCTGCGTGGGAAACCCATCCTTCCCTCTTATCCTAACTTGCCCCATCTTCCTGAAGAACTCCTTTGAGAGGCTTTCCCCTTCCTGCCCTTGTTTGGGTCCCTTATATGTACTTCCAGCAAAGTAATGATCACATAGCATTGTAAGGTTCTGTTCATGATGGCATCCCTAATTAGAGCATAAACTGTCATCGTTTTTATCTTTTAATGCTCAGTGCCTTGTCACATAAATTTGTCATGTAGCAGGCACTCATAGACTGAACTAATGAATGCATGTTGTCTTATGAAATTTCTTTAAGAGACTAAACACGTGGAAATTAGCCTGGCTAGCCTTGCATTTTTTTTTTTTTTTACTCTACTGACATAAAAAATAGGGAAAGAATGACATCTCTGCAAGGCTATGATATATTGTACATTAATGGTACTTGTAAAGGAGAAAGAGTCCAGTATAATAAAAATTGTCTGAGAATCTATGTATATAAAAGCCTAAGTGACTATTAGGACCAAATGACCGAAACAACCGGATGACCGGCTGGTTGCTATGACCCAGATCTTGCTGCTGAGGCCCTGACAGCCCCGAATCTGGTTTACCTGTACCCCGGACCCAGACAGGAGGGAGGAGGGAGCCCGATTCCTCATGGAATCAGCCATTGGTTAGCTTGCTGCTGGGGCCAACCTCCCATAATCCCTCCCCCCAGCTGGCCAACCCCCCACCCCCACCATCGACCCCAATCGCTGGCCAGGCTGAGGGACCCCACCCGTGCATGAATTAGTGCACCAGGCCTCTAGTTATAGATAAGAATGACTGTGTGTGTCCACATCCTATCATTTATACTTTAAAATGCCTTGAAAGAGTCTCTAGATTCCAGATGATGTTTCTGAGAGTAACTGAGTATAACAGAGGAGAGGTGGAAAGAGAATGGGCAGTAATTTATTATCTTATCCATTTAATCTACCAATGACCAGGAAATCAATGGGAAAACCAGTTTCCTCTCTACATACCTTAAGGAAAAGCCATTAGGTTGATGTTACTGTGGTCATTCATTTGGGAACTATAAACCCAATTCTCAGGTCATCATGGCGTGGCCAGTATTGCTTTCCAAGGACACACAGAAAATAGGGGTAACAGCTCTACAGGACTTGTACCCTGATCGTGTCCTTATTGTGTTGGTGCTCATGCCCTACTTATTATTGGGAAAAATGTTTTCTTTTAAAAGGAAGACTAGAGTTGGGAGCAAATGAGTCTTTAAAATAATATCATTTAAAATTCACAATTTCAGGATCTTTATATTGGTCTCTCCTTAAATTTTATTTTGTAATCAAATATATGCACCCATGTAAATATAAAACACTATCTTTTCTTTTCTTTTCTTTTTTCTTTTCTTTTCTTTTCTTTTCTTTTTTCATTAAAAGCAACAACTACGTGTGTGTGTGTGTGTGTGTGTGTGTGTGTGTGTGTGTGTGTGTTTGATAGGTTGCCTCTTATTTCCTCATTCCTACAGAATCCTTTTGAAATAATTGTGTCATATTTAGTTGCCAGGAAAACTAATCCAGAAAGAATCTACTCAACATGTGTTCAATATTCTTGGAGACACTGGAAGGAAATTAAAGTTGTGTCATTCCTCAGCTCCACCAGACGGCCTCGATCCTTTAGATCCCAGCGTCAGGAACTTACAAATGATGAAAGCGAATGTACCTTTCCCCCTCTGTAGGTCAGACTCCATGTCAAGAAGGCGGCCAAACATGCCTCTACAATTCCTGCATTGATTCATGTGCTGGTAGCTCTCGTTGTGACCCCAACACCAGTCTGAATAACTGTAGTAAGTACAGCAGCTGACAAATGCAATCCCCGTGGCAGGATGTGCATTCGGCTTTGTTCTTTCCCGTTGACATTTGAAATGCTGAAGTCTGGGATCCCTCCAAAAATATATGTATCTATTTTCTTTTTCTTTTTTCTTTTTTTTTTAAAGCTTGCATGTGGTAGCAGAAGAGAAACAGAATGGTCTTAATGAACTGAAATCAGAAACAACTGTGTCGTTGTGAATGGGCTATAAATCCGCATCGCTTAATATCATTACCATTACTTTCAACTCAGCGTTAGCTCCTATGTATTATTTTCTTGGCTCCATCTGCAGGCAGATGCTATTTTTCTTCCCTTTGAAAGTTTAGTTTCAAAAATGGAAACTTTATCCGAGAAGCAAATGTGATGTTCATCTGTATAGCCGCATGAAACTTTGGCTGTCTGTTCTTTTAATAAAATTTATTCTCACCTTTCCAGGAACTCTTGCAGCCAGTATGTTAATGATTTGGTGGCGATGTAACAGCTCCAAATGGTGTGAATAGGGGGCTCTCTATACCTGGCTTTCAGGAGGAAGGATTATTAGGGGAGGTAGAATGGGTAGTGGAGGGCTGTGTAGATTCTCACTAGAAATTGAAAATGAATCAGAAAGACTCTGACTCTGATACTTCTTTCACTTTTCATAATTAATTTTTGGTCTCACCTTCAATATGGAGCTTGAAATTAAAAGCAGGTCTGTCACTTTGAGTTGATAAGAAGATGACTTTTTTAAAAAAAGATATATTTTTATTGATTTCAGAGAGAGAGAGAGAGAGAGAGAGAGAGAGAGAGAGAGAGAGAGAGAGAAACATCAATGATGAAAGAGAATCATTGATTGGCTGCCCCCTGCACTCCCCACACTGGGAATCGAGCCCACAACCTGGGCATGTGCCCTTGACCGGGAGTCCAACCTCGATCTCCTGGTTCACAGGTCGATGCTCAACCACTGAGCAACACCAGCCGGGCAAGGTGACTTTTTTAGCACATACCCTCGCCATTGAGGTCCACGGGAAGCTGGGAGGTTGACAGGGTTATGGGTTTGAGTCCTTGGATTTGCTGCAGTTTTAGGGTTCTAGTTTTACTTGGTGACCTTTCTGGGTCAATATGGAGCTTTCTGGTCAATCTGGGGCTGCCCTGTAACCATTGGGGAGTCTCCAGGGGTGAAAACATTGGGAAGGAATTCGAGGAAGGCAGCCACTGACAACCCAGCTGACAGGACTTTTTATTTTCATGAGCACTTAACTGGCTGAGACACAATACCCAGCCCTCCTCCACTTCCCAGGTGAGAGAACAGTGCAGATAGATAGCAGTCTGACTACTAAGACCCACTGCTGTTTACTCACTCTACACTGATTCAAGTGTGTGTGTGTGTGTGTGTGTGTGTGTACATGCATGTGTGTATGTATGTGCACATATATGTGTGTGCACACTCATGTGTGTGTATATATATATATATTCTGGATCCATCGTTTCACTTTGGTTATCTCCCAACCTGCTCCAGAACTTTTCCAGAATTATTTAGTTACTTCACCTTGAACTTGAGATGAGTAATTTTAAACAGTGACAGTGTCATCTCAAAGACATATACGTATTATTAAAGTTTTGGGAGTTGTCTGATATGGGATGTCACTATTAGACTCAAAAAAGTCAAAAGAACTGTGTTAGCCTGTGTCAAATTTTGGTGAAGAATATTTTATCCTATTTTCTCTCTATTTGAAATGTTCCAAGATTTAAATCTGTTATCTATCAAAAAAAGAAGTAGAAAGGACACTAGATGACTCTGATTTATACATTTAACCAACATTTACAGCATGTGCACAATGGTCCAGGCCCTGGGATGGACACTGGGCATGTTAGTGGTGAAGAAGCAGCATGATTGCTACCTTCCTGCAGGTCACTTTCCAGGGTGGGAGAGCACACTGCCACCTTCCCACTCATATATACCACTTTGGTCTCTCTCTTTTTAATTTTTTAAAAATATATATATATTTTACTTGATTTCAGAGAGGTAGGGAGAGGGAAAGAGAGATAGAAACATCGATTATAAGAGCGACTCATTGATCAATTGTCTCCTGCATGACCCTCACTGGGGATCGAGCCACAACCTGGGCATATGTCCTGCCAGGGAATCAACCATGACCTTCTCGTTCAAAGGTCAACGCTCAACCACTGATCCTTGCTGGCTGGACTTGTTTCTCTTTATATTCTTCAGATACACTCAGTTTCCCCAGTGTCTCACTGTCTCACTGTCTCATCACTTCTTCACGCACAATAGATCTCCTGCCCAGTTTGCCCATATATAGTCAGCACTGACATCCCTTCTTCTGAGTGGCAGGCACTGGGCTAGTCACTGGTCCCACTCCTGCAGTGTATATGTAGTGAATATGCCTCACCTCCAGTTTAGAGCAAAGATATTAGTCCTTATTTTTCAAAGAGCTTCAGGATCATAGCCGTGTGCTTGGTTTTCTGTAAAGATGGACTGGTAACATCTCCTCTTGGAAAACTGTGTGCACGTGAAATGTGACTGCTTGAAGATCCTTATGTGTAGGGAGATATAATTACTTAGATTCTGAGTCAGGACTGCACAGAACTCTTTCTCTGGCTCCTTCCAGTGGAGAATATGAATTTTGAGAATGTGAATATTCTGTCTGCTGGGGTCAGTGTCTTACTGGACTTCTAGTCCTTGAAGACACTGGTTCTTGCCATCCCATAAAATATAACTTTCTAACGGTCCCTGAAGATATACTGGGTGGGACCCAGGCATCAGTATGTTTAAAATTCCCATTTGACTCCAATGCTCAGCCCAGTTGAGAATTATTGATTTAGTGGCCTGCTCATGACTAGGCCACAGAGGTATGTGACATCTCCAAAACTAGCTATGAAAAAGTCTTCGTAATTTTCCAAAAAGGTGTATGACTTATCTCAGATTCCCAGAAATGACTACAATGAGAAGCAAGCCTATAGAATAGTCAATGAACATATATTCATAGCCCATGGATACAGACAACAATGTGGTTAGGACCAGAGGGAGGTAAGGGCAGGGCCTGGGTGGAGGAGGGCACAAGAGAGGAAATGGGGGACATCTGCAAAAATTTCAACAATAAAAACAAAAATCTATAAACTACATCTCTGATGACATTGTGTACTGATAGGCTTGAAGTATCACAGTATCACCACATATACTCATAGTCCAGAATCCTTAACATCTTTGGGCCCTTCTGGGAGGCAAAATACAGAACAACACAGACATATCCTTTGTCTGGCGTGGAGGGACTAATTATCCGTCTGCTTTGTAATGTGCAGTCCAGACATCTGGGGGAGCCTGGGACAGAGCAGCTCTTGGGCACTAGTCTCTCTCTGCTCTCGGCTCCCTTGATCACTGTGGCTGCTTGCCTCAGGGGCTCTCCCAAACTGTCCACTGTGTTCCATCAACCACTAGTTCTACATGCATTCTTTTCTTCAACACCAAGACCTAGAATAATTTTCCAAGGTCTATGCATTTTCTGCCCTCTCTTTGCCCTCTCTAGTTGGAAGGAATAAATGACATGGTGTGTGGCAAAAAGCCAAACACCACAATGGCTGGGAACTTCAGTCCTTGCAAGCAAATAGGAGATGAGAGGAATGAGCTCTTTGTGAGAGCATCCCCAACCAGTCAGTAAAAAATGAATGATTGAATTAGAATATTACTATTTGTGATGCAGTGATTGAATGGGTCAAGGCATTGAGCATCTACGTCTGCAGATGTCACACAAAAAGAGGACGTGTGCCCTCTGATGAAAGAACCCAGCAGCACCTTCTGCCAAGGGATGACTCCCAACCAAGCCTCTCTATTTGTATTCAATTATCAGTGCTCAGGAAACAGGGAAGGCAGTGCAATGTGTTCAACTGCACCAAGACTGTGTAAGCAGCAAAATCTGGCACATTCTAAGGCCCGATCCCTGGGTTCTTCAGTAGTTAAAGCTATAAGGAAAAATAAAGGCATGGAGGGGGAACCCAGATATTATAAGATACTTAAAAGACAAGTTAAAAAAATAATAACTCAGGTAGTGCATACTTATGTAATCTATACTAATAAAAGCTTAGGTGGCCCTCGTGCCCTTGCATGACACCATCATGTCATCACAAGATGGCCGCCCCATGTCATCACAAGATGGTGGACCCCACGTCATCACAAGATGGCCACCCCCATGTTGTCACAAGATGGCCACTACAAGATGGCTGCCACAAGATGGCCAGCAGGGGAGGGTAGTTGGGGGTGATTGGGCTGGCAGGGGAGGGAAGTTGGGGGTGATCAGACCAGCAGGGGAGCAGTTAAGCGTCAATCAGGCCGGCAGGGGAGTGGTTAGGAGCCAGCATTCCCAGATTGTAAGAGGGATGTCCAACTGCCAAGGAGTTCCAGATTGGAGAGGGTGCAGGCCGAGCTGAGGAACACCCCCCCTATTGCATGAATTTTATGCACCAGGCCTCTAGTAAAACTATAAAAAAGAACAAGGAAGTGATAACTCTGGTACCCAGTAGTTACATTGGGGGGAGCAGAGAAGGTTGATATAAGACATATACATAGGAAGGGGATGCTCGGCAAAGTTCAATTTCTTGAACTTGATGGAAGTTACAAGGGCGTCCACCTTATAATAACTCATCATGCTATTAAAAATAATAATGTACATATGTTGAATCATTATGTTCTACACCTGAAACTAATATAATATGTGTATTATATCTCAAAAACAATAAGGATAGCAATAGCGTTTGAAGCAAGGATAAATCATGGAATATTATATATGCCAGTGGGTGTTGAAAAGTGACATTTTCTCATGTAAATAACCATCATTTAGTACATGATTTCCAGGAGCTTCAGAGTATTTCCTCACAAGGATATAACATCGTTTGGTTAACAATCCCGTCTTTGTGGTGAGTTTAATAAATCTTGTTTCAGACTTTGAAAGGTCAAATACTACTGAGACTCCATCAGGATCATTTTCTTTTCCCAACAGATATTCCTGAAATCTCATTTAGGTTCAGGTTACTGTGCTAGGCACTGTGTCGCTCACATTGGAAATGGTGCTGTGGCATTTGAGCATCCTCACATGTTTGTGACTCGGTTGCCCTCTAGTGGCTATTGCAACTCTGGCTAGGGAGTGAGTCTAATGCAATAAAGAAACTTATTGGTATCATATATCATAGAATTTGAGGCTGACAGATATCATGAGAATTTCTTTTGCTTAGTACTCCATGAAGAATGCATTATGAAAGAATAAATCACAAGATTCAGTCAATCTTACAACATTCAATAAAAGTCTCTAGAATAATAAATGATAATAACTTAATCCATTCATCCCCCTCAGTTCTGAAACACTTAAAGGTTAAATCTTATCCCAGATCAAAAGCAGTAAGTTCTCCATACATCTAAAGGGAAAAAAGTTATTCATGTGACATTGCTATTAATCAACTAAATGAAATGCACTAATAAAAAGTTAAAACTTGGTAGGGTGGTAGGGGAGCAGAGAGAAAGGAAAGACATGTAAGAAAAAAGAGACTGCGATACTGCATAAAAGTCTGTGTGGATGATCCCATTTTTGTGGAACTATAATTTTAAAATTAGAAAAAATATAGAGTTGAGCTTCATCCACTGACTTGGAAATGGTCATGATAAATAATTAAACAACAAAAAGTTGAAGAGTAATAGGAATAGTGCAATTCTACTATGGCAAAAACGAGCACATGCTCTGTCTTTGTGTGTAAAGTCTTGTATGCATAGATATGAGCAGTGGAAAGCAAGGAAGGCTTCAGACTCATCTGAGGGTTTGAGAGAAAGTGAGAGAACAGGGAGTGGGAGATGATGAACTTTTTACTTTATGCATCTTTGTATTGTTTTATTGTTAAGAGGAACATTCGTTTTAAAAATAATCTAAAATAAGAATATGCCAATGTTTCTCCTCTTTCGTAAATCAAAGGAAATGAACAACTGAACCAACCTCATACTCTCTCTGTTTCTTTTTTCAATTATAGTTTACATTCAATATTATTTTGTATGAGTGTCAGCTGTACAGCATAGTGATTAGACAAACATACACTTTACATAGTGTTCTCCCTGATAGTTCCAGTACCCACCTGGCACCATACACAATTATTACAATATTATCGACTATATTTCCTATGCTGTACTACCCTCCCTATTTCTTTCTCTTCTCTCCACCCTGTACTCATCCTTAAGATTTTGTTACATCTTCCCATGTAAACTGAGAGTATGTTACACTTTGTCTGAACAGCTTTTCAGCTGGCCAATGCCAGGCTTCTTATCAGCATAATCCCTGTGAAGCCCTCAGATTCTTTAACATGTGGTCCTGGAGCTGTCTTAGTATTTCACCCCAGTTTTCATTACCAATCTATTAGTGCGCATACCACTTCCTAGTCAAATAACTACATTTAATTGGAATACTTACTGTTAATCAGGCATGGAGTCTTCAGTCAGCTTGGGCCAATCCTAGGAAGATACTCATTTGATTATCCTCTCATCTCGGGTATGTCTACTATGGACAGAGAGGGAGGAGGGGTCCTTTCTACCGCATCCCCCAAACCTGCCCAAACCCCTGTGAGGCGTCCTGAGCCTCCCTTGCTCCACCTCGTCTCTCTGGGCTCCTTGCCACCGTCCCAGCGGCTCACGTTCTGCTACAGCTGCCAGCATGTGTGTCTTCCTGTGAAGAGTGTGGAGTGTCTCAATGGTGGGGACGAAACTTGTTATTATTTTTATATATTTAGTGCCTAGGATAGTTCCCGACACTTTCTCCTCCTTTCCTTCCTTCCTTCCTTCCTTCCTTCCTTCCTTCCTTCCTTCCTTCCTTCCTTCCTTCCTTCCTTCCTTCCTTCCTTCCTCCCCCCCCTCCCCCTTCCTTCCGGCACTGTCCTTGGTGCTGACTTTGAGATTAATGTGTGTAGTCTCATTTCTCAAAACCATCCATGGGGAGGGGGGTGCGAATAGTAAAGAATACAGCAGAATTTGTAATATCTTATTCAATAAAGGGGTGGGGAAGAAAAGAATACAGCAGAATTTGTAATACCTTATTCAATAAAGGGGGGGGAAGAATACAGCAGAGGAAAATGCAGTAGCCGTGCTGGAGGTGCTATGGCTCTCAGCAGAAACTCAGTCTGGGAGTGGGAAGTCTTCCTGGAAGATGCGACTTGTGAGTCCTGCAGACTAAGGAGGAGTCGCTTGGTGGGGAGGATGGGAAAGGATTATTCCAGGCAGTGGGTACTCTATGTACTGGCAGCTGGAACTGCGACTGCATTTGAGTGGTGACTACAAGTATGCCAAGCAAAGAAAGGGGTAAGAGAGGAGCCAACAGGGCTCACAAAGGCATTCACTTCTTAAAATATCTGGTGTTGCCAATACTGCTGACCAGATAGTCGTAGGCAATGAGCCTGCAAAGTCAGGGTGTCATTGGAGTGTGAAATAGCATTGGATGCCAACCTAATGGGTTCGGATTTTATCTCATTGGAAATGATAGCTAACAGATCTCGGGCTCCTCTGCCCCTGAATCTCATAGCTTTAATATATACATTTTTTTAATTGATTTCAGAGAGGAAGGGAAAGGGAGAAAGAGATAGAAGCATCAATGATGAGAGAATTATCAATGAGCTGCCTCCTGCACGCCCCCCACTTGGGATCAAGCCAGCAACCCGAGCGTGTACCCTGGCTGGGAATCACACCGTGACCTCCTGGTTTGTGGGTCGATACTCAACCACTGAACCACACCAGCTGGGCTTGTAGCTTTATATTTAAATCCATTAATCAACAATGAAATGTAGAAACATTGTTTAATGCCCACTTTAGTCAAATTCGTTGTTTTTTTTTATGGCTATAAAGATGATGAGGAACATATAAGTTTAGAAGTCATAAATTGAAGAAGAAAACAAAGTGAGTAAAAGAATCATGAAAAAGATCCACTTTCAGATAAGTTGAACCAAAGGGAAAAATGAGAAAGACTTTCTAAATCATGTGTGCTGGGCACTGTGTTAGCAGCCACACACACAGAAATGAATCTTGGTTTGGCACTTTATTAACCAAATTACTTAATTTTCTATAGCAGTGTTATATGTTGCTTGTATTCTAGTCTTAGCTACTTTAAAGAGAAAGTAGACTTCAAAATTTTGTAAGTTTTAAAGAAACAGTTACATATGCAAAATTAATATATGTATGTGTCTGTTCATGTGTTTCTTGGCAGGTCAATGTGAACCAATTACCTTGGAACTCTGCATGAATTTGCCCTACAACTATACACATTACCCAAATTACTTTGGCCACAGGACTCAGAAGGAAGCATCCATCAGCTGGGAGTCCTCTCTTTTCCCTGCACTTGTTCAAACCAACTGTTACAAATATCTCATGTTCTTTGCCTGCACCATCTTGGTACCGAAATGTGATATGAATACAAGCCAACGTATCCCCCCTTGCAGGTAACACAGTGGGGTCTCTCCTATTACCTCAAACATCCTCATTTTCCCTTGGGGAGAACTGAAGGAAGGAAGACTTAGTCCGAGTTTAGACGAAGTGCGTATCTTGCCAAGGAGCTCTGTATTTAACAAATTACATATTTAAGAGGTAAGGAAGCAGGAATTAGAAAATGAATAATTGAATAAGAATTCATTCCTGAATGAGGGAGGTATAAAGTGCCTTTCATAATAGTTTCTGTACTTCAATCAAATAATATTACATGTGTGTCATTTTGGTTGATCAAGAAGTGTTTTGAAAGATGTGAGTTAGCAGAAGACCAGGTGTATCTGCCTCTTTCCCTGCAGCAACGCTGTGTTAAAAATGCTGCTTTTAAATATATATAATGATTTCAGAGAGGAAGGGAGAAGGAGAGAGAGATAGAAACATCAGTGATGAGAGAGAATCATTATTTGGCTGCCTCTTGCACACCCCCCATTGGGGATCAAGCCTGCAACCCAGGCATGTGACTGGAATTGAACCATGACCTGGTTCATAGGTCAACACTCAACCGCTGAGCCACAATGGCCGGGTTAAAATGCTGCCTTCTTGTAGCACTTAGAGGTTAGCTATGTTACACCAGGAGTGGCCTGAAAGGGACCTAATGCCGGCTTCACAGGCTGGACAGGTGATGGACATTGCTGACAATTTCCTACCTGCTTGAGTTAAATAAGGGACAACATTTCAAGAGTGCAGCTTGGACTTAAGATATGAATGATATCTATGGGTTAAGAGCGTTGCTATGGAGTCCACTGTCTGATCAAGTTCTGGCTCTTCTCACCCTGGTGTATAGCCTGAAACTGGTTCCTCAGGTTCTCCCAGCCTCAGTTTCTGTATCCTGTATCACTGGATAGTGATGGTGGTTTTGAGATGAAATGAAAGTGCATAAATGCAACGTGCTGCTCATTGATTGTAAGAACATAGAGCACAATGCCCCGATGATAGGGCACGAGCACAGCTGCTTAGCACAGTGTGGTCCCTCTTCTATGCCAGGTGTTAGGGGCTGTAGTCAGAGATCATGCATTTAGGAGTCAGCTATCTTGGAGGTGGGTGGCTGCTCTCCCCAGTGCTGGTTTCCATCAAAGGGTGAATCTACAGATGTGCCTGTCTCCATGTGAGTGGTAACTATGGAAACCATATGTTGAGATCAGAAGTCACTTAGAAGCTTAAGAAAAAGCAATAATGACAATATGGTGGACAGATGGAAACGCAATAAATTATATACTGAATATCAGATGGATGACAAGGTAGGGGCACCTACAGAGTAGGGCAGGAAACAATAAAATTGCAGAATGACTTGAGGAACTGAACAATTCATACCAATAGAGTAAAACTTACTGTTGGTTTGTGCACACATAATTCTGAAAATTTCTGTTAAATGCCTTTTGAAGTGCCACTAATAAACTACCTACCAATTTTATTCTACGGATTTCTAAATCTTATTTCCTTTTTGCTGGGCAAGGTCAATGATAGTGAATAATTGCTTTTAATAGTACTTAACAAATTCTTGTGTTTGACTTTCTTTTCATATGTATGTAAAAATTTCCTTAGTGCAGTATTCTCTGGGACAAATTTACACTCACATATAATTTATAATTTTAGGCTTAAATTTCATATCAAAATGCCTAAGATGAGGCTGATCCTGAGACATTTTGCTGAACTTCTTTTAGATACTTTAGTTCTGTTTCTTGGGTTTACACATACACATACATCTTTCATTTTCGGTGAATTTTACATTTTGATATTTATTTAGGTGATAAAATTTTTACATTATAACAAGAATAATATCCTAAAATTCATGAAGTAATACATAGTTGCTTTTGTCAAGCCTGTTTATTTTAAAATTAGTTTTTAATTATGAATCAGAAAAATCTAACATTCTCAAGCCCTTACTTTCACTAAATACCTTAAGGTACTTCGCCATCTCATCCTCAATATCACCTTCTGAGGGAGACCCCTGCCATCAGGTCTGTGGTTTTGGCTCAGCACCACACAGCTAGGGATGAGGACAGCGCCCCCTGCAGTTTCCATGCTGTGTGTTGTACTATTTCCATTTTATAGAAAAAAAAGGAAATGATAGAGTCAAGCACTACACAGTCTTTCATATAAGTTAGGTATTATGTGAATAATTTAAAGTATCAGCAGCAACCAATTTATATACACTTTTTATAAATCTGCAACAAACTGTTCAATCCAACAGGCAGTTATCGAACACTAATTGAACTTCCTGTTTTTGCAAAACGGATGTGGGAACGCCATGGATTTGTCTCTTCCCCGCCCCACCACCACCACATTCCTCTGCTAAACCAGCAAGGAGTTATACTATGTCTTGTCCAGACTTAAAAATCTAGACAGAGCTTTATCTGCAACTTCCTGATTCAATTGCTAACCATTCCCTACCTTGTTGAAATTAACTTACAGTTTAAAGTTTGAGACTTTTGACAAATAAGAATGTATTTAAAAGGAAATAAGAAATTTACCCAAAAGCTTACTTTAGTTGTGTCTGTTTAAAAAAAAATTATTTAACTAATTTCTTGGTGATATATTGAGGCAAAACCATGTCCCACCCCATCCCTCAATAGGAAGTAAAGGAAGTAAAGGCATCTTTCATGAGACATGTTGATACCTCAGGTAAATAATATTCTGGGTACAAATGAGAACACAAATGAAAGCACCTAGCACAATGCTTAGTATATATTTTCTTTCAAAAGAAAAAACACACAAAAACCCCAAAAAACTTTATTTTAACCAACTTGAACTCAATATAGAGAGTTTGGGAGAGGTGCCAGCTTTTCAACAATATTGGTCTACGTGGAAGGAAGGAAGGGATGAATGCCGTAGGTAAGCCAGGTGGACCCATGAAATGACTCACACAGCTGGTCACCAGAGGGAGAGAACGCTGAGGCTGAGGGTGTTGTAGAGATGCCATGACCGTTGGTGGGAGACTATCCACACTGATATTGGGGACTTCCCAGCTCAGAACAAAAATGTTGGAGAATGTGTCTGTCAAAAAAAAAAAGGAGGGAAAATGAGAAGGGACTCTGTGTCCTGGATGGTTAGTGTACAGACTCACAACTAGGAGACAAACAGGTCCTGGAGAGCTAGTGCACAGTCTAGTGAACATAGACAAAAATATTGCACTGTAGTCAAACTCACAGAGAGTCTAGATCTTAAGTAGTCCAACCCCAAAAAGAACTGATAATTGTGTGATAGGGGTGCCAACTATAGCTCCAACAGCGATTTTATTACAATACATAAACATATCAAATCAACATGTTTTTCTTGTTAAATTACACAACGTTACATTAAATGAAACACAGACAATATTTCTATTTCTGCAGTGAAGTTTCTTTTGGTGAAAGGATGCTGCTGGGAGGTACTCCCTTTGTAGAGCTATTATTTGTTTTGGTTTCCCAAATACCTATTATGTGCAAGTGCCTCCATATACAGGGGCAGGCAAAAGTAGGCTCACAGTTGTGCGAATGGAAAATAATACAATGATTAATAAATAACAGTACAAGAATAAACTCTGTTTCACATACAACTGTACACCTACCTTTTCCACCCCTGTATATTGATACATATGCACACCAAATATATACACCACACACAGAGACACACCCACAGAGCATTAAAACCCAAAACAGATTCCCAACATACATCTCAGGTGTAGTTATTCCTGCCTCTACTGTTTTGTCTTCCTTGCTCTTTCAGAGCTCTGTGTGAACACTCCAAAGAACGCTGCGAGTCTGTTCTTGGGATCGTGGGCCTACAGTGGCCTGAAGACACAGATTGCAACCAGTTTCCCCAGGAAAATTCGGACAATCAAACCTGCCTAATGCCTGACGAAGACGTGGAAGGTTAATTTATAAATTAATTTCTGTGGGGTATCTAATATGGATGAACATATTAGCTCCTTTTTTGAAGTCTCTCTGTTGCTATTATATATATATATTTAGTTGCCACTCAGGCTTTATAGGGCAGTGAATTGCTTTGAAAATTGATTGCTTTGAAGAATTTGGTACTCATTTGTTAGACATGGTCTTTATTTTAAAAATGAATTGCAGAGATGAATTTAATAATACAAATATTTATTTTAACCACACTTAACTCACAGAGCCCATTACATATGGATGCTGCTCTTATTCTAGGGTTTCTGAAGGTAATAGTTAGGACTTGGTTCCTTCAACTGCAAAGCATTTGAAGATCTTGGCAATATGGGAGCTCAGGCGGAGAAACGAAATGGGGGACCAGTCCCAGGTGGAAAGACTAGAATGGGAAACAGCCGTGACATGTAGGGCAGCTGGGTAGGTAGAAGCGTGGACTCCACAGGACATTTTAGGCTCTGGCAGCGTTAGCATGTCCATTCAGGAAGAGCATTAATTTCTGGAAAGTGTAAACACTGATCTGGAGAAGTGATGACAGAGATGCAGGAGGAAGATGCTGATAAGCAGACAGAAGACGGCTATTTCAACTTCGCAGAGGACCTGACTTATCCTCAGTAATCGATCCTTGCCTACATTCCACACAGTAAGTAGATAAATGAGCTGATGGTCCTGGGGTTTCTGTTTACTGACAGTAATGTGTTCCATTGTTTTTCAACAGAATGCTCACCTAGTCACTTCAAGTGTGACTCAGGACGGTGTGTACTGGCCTCCAGAAGATGCGATGGCGAGCCCGACTGTGATGATGACAGCGATGAGGAAAACTGTGGTATGTGTGTGAGATGGCACTTTTCTTGAATACACTAACAACTGGTTGGGATAAGGGACTGTGTTCAAGAAATAAGTGTTCACGGATAGTTCTAAATAGTGATTAGGATTGAATGCTAATATAGTTTCTTCTTAAATCATCAAATGGCAAGGCATGAATTGGTGTGTTTTTCCTGTTAATTCGATTGATTTTCCCTAACTTACACTTCTATTTATAACCTTGATGAAAAATTGGGTGTCCCAAAAATGTATACACACACACTTTGAGTAATTTTAATGGCAGGGGCTATTGAAATACATTTCATTTGCAAAACTGAGCCATCAGCTTTTAAAGTGTGTATATGTTATTTTGGGACACCCTGTACATGCAAACCCTTAGTAGAAGGAGAAGCACGTCACTAAAGTAAGGAATTAGTTTTGTTATTAGAGATTATAAAGCAGTTGTCATCGGTCTTTGCATATGATTCCCATGCTGTTAGGTATCTAGATACAAAGAGACAGAGTTCAGGCTCCAATGTTCAAATTTAATTGGGATTTATTTTCATGCCCTCTCCAATTTTGCATCTATTGGCAAAGGGTAAAACGCTTTCTGGCGTTTCTGCCATTGAACTCCAAAATCACTCATGGAAAGGCCAGAAATGCCAATAGTAACTTAAGTGGCACTAATTCCCATTTTGTTTCTCTGCAAACCTTTGTACTTGTAACCTCAGAATGTGTCAGGGAATAGAAAACAGACAATGCTTTTTACTAAACAATATTCTAGAGTAAGGCAAAACAACTGAAAATCTATCCAAAGATTAGGTTGGTTATGATGATTTAGCTTATTCTGCTTTTAAAAATTGACACTTTTTTTTTTTTTTTTTTTTTACCATCAAAGCACATAAGGAAATACATCTTTTGAAATCATTTTATTCTTTTGGCCTTTTAAGTATAAATACTACCTTGCTCCCCAAAATGAATTTTCCATAGTAAACAGTGCCCTTTTGGTCTAGACAAAATGTCACAATCAATCAATTGAAATCTTATCAGCTGCTATAAATATGGACAAGCGCATCTTCTAGAAAATTAGAACTGTCAGAATAATGGTACAATGACTGGGATAATTTTGTTAGGGAGGAACATACAGTGTTTTGAGAAGCTACTGCCGTTTGCTTGTTTGTGATCTTTATGTAGAGAAATAAATCAAAACCCATTGAATATTTCTTATCTGAGTGATTTATTGAGAATCTATTGAATTGTTTTCTAACTATGACTTTAATGGGTGATGGTATTCTGAGATGCATTTTTACACGGATTATCTTAGATGACTCAAAGCAGTTACATGGTACCTACTGAGGTGGATAGACCTAAATTTACAGTAAGGTACTAAACATTTGAGAAATTTAAAAGAAGAATCTTACCAGGACTAAAAGATCTGAGTTCTAGAATATACTCTGCAAAAAAAAGAAATCCGAAGCACTATAGGTTTTGAATCATCCTAAAATATCAGGTTTCTCAGTAAGTCATGAGTTTTCATGAACACTTTAGTCACATAATCAAAATGATACAAGAAGTTTTCTCATCCCTATCAAACACTCAAAATATTGATGCACTACTGAGAGATCTCATTAAAGAAACGAGAGTGGGAGGGGAATTAATACATTTGGAGTTACATTAATTGCTCCAACAGTATTAAGTCACGAGAACACCCACTACCTTTTCCAAAGTGACTGATAATAGAAAATTTACATACGTTCCCCTTTGGGATGTGTGCACACATTGGAATGGGCAGGTCTGATGCTCTGGGAGGACAGGGACACTCAGAATCAAATAAGGAAACTGCGTGGAGGAAGGCTCACTATTGGGAAATCACCCAGTTCCCATTTGTCTACCTGCTCAGTTTGTCTCTCTGCTCCTTGGCCTGCATGGGCATCCCATCTGGCAATGCAGCCGCCAGCTCTGGCAAAGCTGGTTTCACCCCAAACTTCAGGTCTTTCTGCTTATTGTGTCCATTGTGGAGTCGTAGGCACTTCAATGCTTGGACTTCACTGACTAATGTGACAATTAACGATTCACTCTCTCACACCTGCAGTTCCCCCAGGAGTTCCAACTATATTATTGGGTTTCCCCTCAAAACAAGACTTATTTAATTAGATAATAGGTGTTTTGGAAATCTACTTTGAGTCATTTTGGCACATCAGCAGGGAAATATGGTGGGCAAAGCACACCACTAATAAATACACTTTGAAATACATGCATTAGAACAGTGATGGCGAACCTTTTGAGCTCGGCGTGTCAGCATTTTGAAAAACCCTAACTTAACTCTGGTGCCATGTCACATATAGAAATTTTTTGATATTTGCAACCATAGTAAAACAAAGACTTATATTTTTGATATTTATTTTATATATTTAAATGCCATTTAACAAAGAAAAATCAACCAAAAAAATGAGTTCAGAGGTTCTCCATCGCTGCATTAGAATTTAGCAATGAACAATGTTCTGAAGTCTCCTGCTCATGTGGTAAATTTTTGTTGTTGAAGTCATTTTCATTGTATGTAAACAATATTTGAAAATATTTCAGCATTAGGAATATTTTCACCAAGTGTTTGGAAGAATTTTGCAAATCTGAACACATCATTCCAGAATTATGGGATGGAACCTAATATTAGGAGTGATTGTTAAGTCAGCATTATTGGTACAGAAGACTTTATTGTCTTAAAGGTTGACAGTTTGTCATTAACTGAAATATACTATATAGATGGAGCTGCCTGTGAAACTAGCAACTTCATGAAATAAGCTGATTTCCAATCTAATATTTTCCAAGCATTAATACCTAAGCAGTGAAGGAAAAGGCAAAGATCTGGGCAAAGAAATGAATAAGAATCACGTAAAAGAAAGGAGAGCTGAAGAAAATAACAATGGAATTATATTTCTGAGTTTTGCCTTCATGTTATAGATTTGAGTTTGAGACTGAGATTAGCTTTTGCTAAACCTGTGCCCACAATTTAGGTGAGTTACAAGCAGGAGCCAGGTGGTACCTGGGCTGTGATGTGAGCAGCAAGGCTTCTCAATGGGGCGGTCATGGGAATAGAGCTAAAACAGTTCCTTTATTTCTACTGTGGAAATAAAACCCTTTATTACATGAACACAGCACCACAATTCCTAATTGATCACGGTTCCCTATACAAGCGCATACACCATAGGGAGAAAGATTGACAGCGACACAAATGCCTGAGTGGTGATGTGCCTTTCCGTTTCTCTTCAAATAACTTAGAAATCATTCCATTATCTATCTTTGGTTTCCTCTTGGGCTCAAATAAAATAAAATCTATAAATGTAACCTGAATATTTTCTCCTAGTCAAAACCCCTTAGGCTGTGTTTCAAGAGCCTTTGACTCACATTTGTGGGGTTTGCTGTTTGATTTTAAGAGTTTTCTAAAAGATTCTTTTCTAGTTGGTCACTTTAGCATCACACTGTAGCTTTGATGAGTGAGCGTTGTCATTATCTCTGTGCCAAGTGGTTGTTATTTTGACACCAATGATTATTTGGTTTCATAACCTACAGCTGCATTAAACACTACATCCCATGATACCTATTTTTAATTTTTTAATATATTTTTATTGGTTTCAGAGAAGAAGGGAGAGGGAGGGAGAGATAGAAACATCAGTGATGAGAGAGAATCATGGATCAGCTGCCTCCTGCATGTCCCCTACTGGGATTCGAGCCCACAACCTAGGCATGTGCCCCAACTGGGAATCGAACCGTGACCTCCTGGTTCATAGGTTGACGCTCAACCACTGAGCTGGCCAGGCCTGTTTTAAATTTTTAATGGAGTCCTGACCTTTTCCTTTTAAAGTATACATTTAAAATATCATTGTACCAAACATGTCACTTTAAAGGGAGGGTGGTTTCTTCACAAAATAACAGGACTGTCTTCCATGTGATGAATGTCTTGACCTTTTCATTCTACTTCATGTATGCTTTACTCTAACTCCACGAAGGAGGTGTGAGGCCACACAAACTTTTATTACAAAACAGAAGATACAGAAGAGGAAGTTAATGCTTATCAAGTACACATTTAATCTTTGTGTCAGGCACTTTTATTACTATTTTAAAGATATGAAACCGAGGTTCAGAGAAGTTAAGAAACTCATCCAAGATCACACAGCAAGTGAGTTTGGGGCTAGGATTCAAGTCCAGGTGTCCAACTCTGCAGCTGTGCTTCCCTCATGCCTTTTAGGGAAGAACACAACTAAAGATCTGAACCTGGATCCCAACTGGATCTTTCTTGAAAAAGCTGGCTTTGGAGAGATTTATTTATTTTCTCTCAATTTCACTTGTAAAATGGTGATGGTAATGCTGATGTTGTGATGTTCAGATCTAGAATTTATAGTGGGTAGTGAATGTCTCTTATCGTCATTACTTTTTGTGAGACGCAGGCCTTATGTCTCAGAAGATCTGCTTTTGTGGTCTTTCACTAGCTCATTCCAAAAGTCCACGTTCTTCTTGCTACTCGAAGGAAGGGAACCTTGTGAATAGTCAGAAAGACTCCTGCTTTATCTCCCTTTCTCCCCACACAGTGGGGCTGTGATGAGAGAAGCAGCCCTTAGAACGGGCGGCACTGGGTTGCTGACACCTCTGTCTGATTTCCCCCGCTCTGTGGTGGAAACGGCACACTGTGCCATTTGGCAGGGGCTGGACCCTGAAGGGCAGACTTCCGGCTCCTTCCAGATCTCCTGGGGGCCCAGGGGCTGCCATTGTCAGAACATTCCAGATGATGCCTGTATCCTCCGCTAGCTGAAAATCCAAATCATGTCCCTGTGAGTTCCCAGAGCAGATGTCCCCGGTCTAAGACCATTCCAAATGTGCAGCTGGTAAAAGACTCTCCTCTCATTATTGATTTCCTGACTTTTTGAAGGCTGAAGCACTTAAACCTAATTTTAGCTCATAGTAAAAATACCTCTTTTGGTACCTTTTCTTGATAAGAATTTGGAAAAGCATATTTTTTTCTTATAATGGATTTCAAGAATCATGAGTCAATCATCTATGAAATTTCCCCGAATTATTTGTGCTAAGTCAGATGAGAAATAGCATTTTTTTAAAAAACTCATTTTATCAGTACTTTTCATCTCACTCACCTTAAATTAAATAGTCTTTCCTGGAAATGAGAGAGACTTTTTGTTCCAGTGTAGATGAAGTTCCATCTAAAAGGCACATGTAAGAGATCTCACTTATAGGTGGAATCTAATGAACAAAATAAATTGATGAACAAAATAGACCCAGGGACATTGGAACATGGAACAAACTGATGTATTTCAGAGGGAAGGGGTAGGGTGGGGCTGAAAGAGCTTAACTGAAGAACTTATATGTATATATGCACAACCCATGGACACAGACAATAGTGCGATGAAGGCCTGAGGGGGCGGGTGGCAGGTGCTGGGTGGAGGAGGTCAATTAGGGGGGGGGGGGGGACATCTGTAATATTTTCAATGATAAAGATAAATTTTAAAATAAAATAAAATACACATATGTTAGGGTCTGCCAAGGGCTAGCTACTGTTCTAGGCAGGGGTGAAAGGCACCCAAACATGAACGCCCTGTGGCCTCTTCCTTCATGCACCTTCCAGCCTGAGGAGGGCCAGGGGTCCAACTGGAGTGACAAGAACACATTGGAGCCCAGGCCGTGTGGCTCAGTGGTTGAGCATCGACCTGTGAACTGGGAGGTCGAGGTTCAATTCCAGGTCAGGGCACATGCCTGGGTTGCCAGCTCCAGCCCCGGTGGGGGGCGTGCAGAAGGCAGCTGATCAATGCTTCTCTCTCATTATTGGTGTTTCTATCTTTCTCTTCCTCTCCCTTCCTCTCTGAAATCAATGAAAAAAATTTTTTTTTAAAGAACACATTAGATTCTTGGCATGTTTTAACAGACATAGGAGACACACTGTGCTTGATTCAAACATCATTAAGTTCATCGCAAGTGCTTCTGTTTCAGAGGCAAATTACAATTCAAGCTTATAGTCTTGATCTGGTGCAAATGTGCTCATTTCCATTTTAACTGATAAAGTGTGTAACCTTTGTTCTCTGGCTACATTACTAAAGTAAGTGATGGCTTTCCTACTGGCTCTGAAACTTGTTTTGTAGGTATTTGGCATAGGAGGGGCCTCTTTTGCCACACACACACAGATGGTCTGTACATTTGTGGACTGAAATTACATTTTTAGATAATAGGCATGTAGTTTACTAGGTTTTGGCTTGAAAGCATAGCTCACCATTTTATAGAGGAGTCTTATGTGTTGGCAAGTTGACTCAGAAAGCAAAAGGAACAGTTAAAGATGAAAGTTAATATATAATTGCTTTTTCATACCCCCACCCCCCCATTTTCTATACTTCACATTTGATCTTCTCTTAGCAGAGCTGTACTACTTATATTGCAGTATGGAGAGTATCAAGTATTTCTACTTTCAAGATCATGTGTTTATGGTATATAGAAGTAAACACTCTTTGAGAAAAAAGAAATCAGGCCTTTCTGTTGTAATTTTTCTACGTAGCTTGATCACATTCATCTTTATTTTCACCTCCACATCTATTGCAAATGACCTTTTCTTCTGTCTCCAGGCTGTAAAGAGAGAGGTCTGTGGGAATGTCCATCCAACAAACAGTGTTTGAAGAGCACCGTCATCTGTGATGGGTTCCCGGACTGCCCCGATAATATGGACGAAATAAACTGCTGTGAGTCTTACTGGAACTTGTCAACACACAAAATTACCTCTCATTGTGAATAGAAGCTAGAAATTTGGAAATATGTGTCAAAAGCTTTTAGTATGTTCAGACTTTTTTTTTTTTACCAAAAGACAGTCAAACATGTATAAATTTATCCACAATGGTATTATACTAACACTAGAAGCCTGGTGCATGAATTTGTGCACAGATGGGGTCTGGCTGGCCCTCCCCATCAGGGCTGGCCAGGTGGAGGGGCCACGAGAGGTTGTTTGGCCAGGAAGAGGGCCGGTTGGCCAGCCACAGTGTGCATCTTAGCTACTGGCTGTTCCAGTCACTTGGCTTTTATATATATAGATTATTTATAACATATAAAAATCAAAATACTACAAATATCAAAAAATTTGTGGACAAAAAATGAAATTATATGCAAAAATTAAAAACCAAGTATAGGACTAATTTCTTCTGGGTTCATTACATATCATTAGGCGAATAAAACAAAATGTAAAGTATTATGTGTACTATTGTCCTGAGTTTTAAAAATACATAGATCCTCATATAGAAAAAGATTAGAAGGTAATAAGTTCACAATTATAACCCCCTGGGTGGTGGGATTATTACGTGTTTGTGGTTTTTTAATTTTTGTACTTTCTACCTTTTCTAAATGAATGGCTACATTTTTCAGAATCAGAAAAAAATTTATGTCTCTTAAGATATCTTACCTACTGGTTATAGAAAGCCCAGCTCGTCAACTTAAACAATAAAGATATTTATTATCTTTATTATAGTCTATATTATATGTAACATATTATCATAGAAAAAGTCAAGTGTAAGAGGGATTCTTGAGGCTGGATGTGGGAGTTCAGCACTCCATGATTCTCTTAGTTGGGCTTGACCTTGGGCTCACTCCCACCAGGTCCAGAGCACCGGGGCCACTGTGCCTCCTTGATCATATCCAGTGGGAAGAAATGAGAAGCCTGCCCTCATCTCTCCAACACCAATTAGGGATTCGCTCAGATTCGCCAAACTTGAGCAGAGTCCTGCTAAGTGAGGAGCCTTTGTGTGGATCAGCAATGACCCCACCTGAACCGCTGAAATGCAACTTCTCAGGGAGAACCGATTAGGAAAAGAGGCTGGGTCCTCCAGGCCACCTCTGATCCAGGGTAGGACACATGGCCTGGCCAGCAGGGTCTGGGCAGGAACTATCTTGCAGAATACAACCCACAAAACCATAGGCCAAGACCCCGATCTTGGCTCACGTGTTCACTCTTGGACGAATAATTATATTCAGAAAAAAATAATTGTGATGAAGAAAATGCCGTGTCCTGCTTAAGCTGATCGGGAGCTTCCTCTGGAGCTTGGGACAGTGTGCAGGTGGGGAGGCGGGGAGCGGTGAACAAAATCATTCCTTAAAAAAGGAGAAAGAAAGGAGATGGATGCTAGGTAGGCAACCAAGGAGTTTCACTGTGACCTTTTTAAAACCCAGGAGAGAATCAGGTGTGACTCAGAGAGTCATTTACTAGTAGAGATTTTGAAAACGTAGACAGTATCCACATATGTGAACGGAACTGGTTTTCATGCTGTGCTGACTTCAGCCCACTCACCCCTGTGCTCTGCTTGTGACACAGCAGATTTTAACGCTTTTCTTTAATTTTTGACAGTTCTGCTGCTTGGGACTACTCTTTCAATCCTATTGTTAGAGCACCTAGTCCCGTGGAGGAAGGAGTTCTGTTGAAATGCGTGCTGTTTGTGTGGATTGACATCTATGAAATGAGATTTTACCGATTCCCTTAGTCTGTTTGCCACCTGTTCAGAGGCCTCAGTGAACGCACCTTCTCGGCATGTTCCCGCTGGCAAAGGGCTATGTGCGTGTTAGTGATAATCACATTTACTTGTAAAATGTTTCCGTCTTCTTGTTTCTTGTCCCCTGTACCAGCATTTTGCCACGAGGATGAACTGAAGTGTGCAAACCACGAGTGTGTGTCCCGTGACCGGTGGTGTGACGGTAGAGCCGACTGCTTGGACAGTTCAGACGAATGGGACTGTGGTGAGCTGCTTGCTTCTGCCATCTGCTGTACACTCGGCTAAATGAATCCTACCTGACTTCACAGATTGTACTAACCAAGCTCATCTATTTTGCTTTACTACTGTTAAAGCTGACAGTGGTGGTTCATATCCGTTATTTCCAAGTCACAGAAAATGTCCCTGCTCTATTTTGTTACTGCTCTACTTGAAATGCCTACATTATGTGTAAAAGCACTTGAGTTCAAATTGTTATAGATTATAATTTCTAAATTCATCACTCAGCTTCAGCAATGATCAACACTCTGTTATTCTTGTGTTATTGACACCTCCTGGAATGGGATATGAAAGTGGCCCTCCCAGCTTCTCTATACGCTTGCTCCACATCCAAATGGGACTTGTAACTATTACTTCTCCATGTGGAAGAACCTAAAGGCATCTCCCATCAATACCTCCAGTATTTCAGTTTATAATCTTAAATTTGCTTGATTCCATCATCCCACACTCATCACTCTTTCTGTTCACTTAGCTCTTACTTCATCTGGCCAAATCGTAGTTATCATGTGTGTTGTGATTTAATGCTCGCAAATGATCTGCAGTTTGTTAAGTACAGAGGATGTTCTTTTATAGAATAGGAATTAGCGGATATGCCAGATTAACATCACCATCGCACACTTGCATTCTCACCATCACACACTTGCACGCTCACATCACACACTTGCATGCTCACCACCGCACACTTGCAGCTCACCATCGCACACTTGCAGCTCACTACCGCACACTTGCATGTTCACCACCGCACACTTGCACACTCACCACCACACACTTGCACACTCACCACCGCACACTTGCATTCTCATGTGCTTTCTTGAAAGGAAATGATATCAGTGAAGGTACAACTAGCTTCTTATAATTATGCAAATCATTGGGAAAACGCATGGGAATGGGCCCTGCCTCTGGCCATCTTCTAAAAAACAACCCAAGTTAAGAACTATCTGTCTCTTTCACTGGAACCTACAGTATTTTGAGGGCAGAGAACATTTCTAATCCATTTTTTCAGTCTTCCACCACACTGAGGCAGTGATTTTCACAGGGCAGGTATTCACCAAAAGGTTCTTAACTAAAATGAATAAAAATGAATGTATGCAAGTAAAGAGAGGCACGTAAAGTTACCCTTTGGATTCTCGAGAGGAAATGTTTTTAATTAGGGTTTTCTCTTTTGTTCTCAGTGACCCTCTCTCAAAAGGAGAACTCATCATTCCTGACTGCTCACAGGTCTGCCACAGAACACCACGTGTGTGCAGACAGCTGGCAGGAGACCTTGAGTCAGCTGGCCTGCAAGCAGATGGGTTTAGGGTAAGGTCAGTAGTGTGTAGCACTGATGAATTTCTCAGAGGGCTTCGCGGAACTTGGCTGTAATATCTTCCTATGAATGCAGAGGGGCGGAGTGCTCTTAAACAGAGCCCTCCCTGGCACGGGAAATGAATCAGGTGACAGCACCACATTTAATGACAGGCACCTGCTCTGAAGAGTCTGGGTGCAAAACCGAGTTTGATGAAGCCTCTAAAAATAAATGAAGTAATTGTATTTTAAGTACATCTGAAGTGAAATGCTTTCCTTATTTATAAAACCATTTATTAAGATGGTTTCCTACGAGGAACTGGCTGGAAAATCTTGCGATACAGCCTAAGAGATTATTGAACATTCCTTTTTAAGCAGCACACGTCTGTTTCATAAGTTGAGAAAGAAACTTGAAGTTGCTGGTATTTCGGTTTACCCCAAGTAATGCAGGAAAGCTAGATCAGGGAACGTTTCACCATTTTGCTTCCTAGTAGAATGAGAAGACATTCACTCTGCCTTTGATATAAACACACTCAAAGAGATACTTCAAAAGTTGCATACTTGCTATTATGTGGGTTTTTTTCTTTCAGTTCTATCAGGGATGGAAAGCAATAATTGAAGGGTGCTAGAATATATATCTGAGTGTGTGTGTGTGTGTGTGTGTGTGTATCACTATGTATGTGAGATTTTTGGAAAAATATTTTTGTAGAAATGAGAGAAATAAATAGACTTATAACATACTAGGATAAAAATTGTACTAATGGCATTTCCCAGGATTCCACTGAGCAAACTTGAAACAATTTTACAATGATGAACCATTCAGTTAGGGAATAATAAGTAGCAGCATTGTTTTAAAATTCCAGTTAGAGCCCTAGCTGACTTTGCTCAGTGGATAGAGCGTCAGTCTGCGGACCGAAGGGTCCCAGGTTCTATTCTGGTCAAGAGGTCAAGGGCATGTACCTCAGTTGCAGGCTCTTCCCCAGCCCAGGCCCTGGTCAAGATTTGTGCAGGAGGCAACCAATTGATGTGTTTTTCTCACAGTGATGTTTTTCTCTGTTTTTCCCTCTCTCTTCGACTCTCTCTAAAAAATAAATGGAAAAATATCCTCAGTTGAAGATACAAATAAATAAATAAATAAAATTCCAGTTTGAAAAATTCTCTAAATCCCAGAATCTTCAGCTCATTTTTTCCCACATAAAGACCCACCACTTTGGAAAATTGAGTAATCGAGGCTAATCAATAATAAAAGAACTTTAAACTTTGCCAGAGTGGAAAAATTATACTTGCCAAGATCCATTAAATTATACTTTATTTTCACAACTTCCTTATTATGTCTAAATGAAATAGGATATGATTTGGTCAGAGAAAAATGAAAAGCGTTTTGAAAGTGCTTTCTTTTCCCCTCACTAAGACACAGATTATTTCTTAATGTGAAAGCTAGATTACATGATGACGGATAACTTCATTGAGAGTTCTGAGAGAAAGTCGGAACTACAAAGATTTTACAACCAGAAGAATTTCTTTGATAAGCCTCCTGGTTCTACTACAAGTAGAAGGGATCTTGTTTTAAATATTCTACTTTATGTTTCCTCTAATTTTTTGCATATAAGATTTAAGTTTTTTATTGTGGTAAAATGCACATGACATAAAATTCACCATGTTAACAATTTTAAAGTGTGAAATTCAGTGGTATTTAGTATGTTTACAATGTTATGCAATCATCACCATTCCCTGGCTTCGTTCACTTGGCATAATGATATTATGCATCGATATATTGGCACTTCATTCCTGTTTGCGGCTGTATAATATTCCATTGCATAGGTATTCCTCATATTAAAAAATCTATTCATCCATTGATGGACATTTTGCTGGTTTCCTCCTTTACCTATATTGTGTGCATATTGAATTAAAAAAATCTCTTTACTCCATTTTCTTAACATGGTGGGAAATTCTCATTTCAGTATTTTAGGTATTTACAATCTAAATTGACATTTAGATTTTTTAAAAGATAACATTATTTCAAAGAACTACTAGGAAAATCTGAACAGTATAGTTGGAAAATCATAACCATTATTTGGCTGAGTTCATGGATAAGTAGTGATAAGTCTTCCAAGGAAATGAGTAGAAAAGGTAATCTTAGTATTTTTGTACTTTTTGATTGCCTTCAAACTCTTCAGTTTACGTGGGTATTTTATGAATTGACAGAAACCTGAACAGCCAGGGTGGGGCAGGAATGAAGGTAATGAGCAAGATGAGACCAATTCCTGTTTAGGAAGCCGCTCTGTTAGCACTGTTCCCGAGACCAGCTGCTCCACAGATCTGCCACTGATGCCTCAAATCAACTTGAAGTAGCCCAGTGCCTTTGAGCCATTTTCTCCAGATTCAAAGTCCTCAATAGGAGGGTCTGTCTGGCTATGATTAGTTATTGACTGACACTCCAGCTGCCAGAGTGGGGGGGGGGGGGGAAGAAGGCATAGCAGTCTTCTTTAGCTTCTGGAGTGAAGTGTCCACTGCACTGGCCTGCCTTTATACCTTCAAACATACTCTGCACCAGAAACTTGAAGTTATAAGAAACTTCTGCTTAGGGTCCTGTATGAGAGTAGGCCTTGTGCGGAGGATGCAAAGGTGAATCACATCACCAACGAACTTCCAATGTATTGGGAAGACATATGAGCGAGCAACCAAGAACATAAAATTAGAGAAAAATTCAGACTTTTTGTCATCGAAGAATGGTTCATTCGTAGCACAGCACATGACATTTCTATTAAAATTATATAAAAATATTCAGCTCTAAAAAAATATACTCAGCTCTAAGATGGTCTTAATACTGTAGTATATATTTATTAAATTATTCCTTTATTCATTCAGTAAACATTGATAGAAATCAGCATTGTAGTGTGGTATCCAAAACAAATGTAACCCAACTTCACATAGGTCATTCAGTGACTTGAGGGGGTACATTTTGGAGCTAGTTCATAAAAAATTACATGTCTACACCCAATTACATGTCTTGCAGGGATACTACTGAAATGCTTTCGTGATAGAGGCAGTTGATTAAAAACACCTGCATTTAGCATTTTTCAGACTTTCCTGTCTAACCGCACAAATGTTAGGCTCTCAGGTAAGTGCTTGTCTGAATGAGAAGATTCAGAGTTCTTTGCTGAATTTGAGAACCTTTTCACCCCCACCTGCAGGTATCTCTAGAGTTCACCCGGCTTGGAAGTAAGATAGTTATTTGATTAGACAAGGGTATAAATCAAGTCCCTAAAGTCTCTCATGATAGTATATGGACTTTGCTACCTACATGCCCAGTATCAAAAACATATGGACATTTATTTAATCAACGATACAAATCAGACCTTAAACTATCCTCTAACACTTGCCAAATGCTCAGTTGAGACATCTGGTATTCGAGGAAGTTGGTCGAAGGGATGTGATGACTCTCTGTGTCTCTTTGCTTCACAAGGTTTATCTTTATGTAAAGTTAGATCATCCAGAAACAGGCTGTACTATTTTGGCAAAATTCCTTTACGGAATTAATTTCAATCTGATGTTATGCCCTAATCTTTTAGAGTTGGTCAACAAAAGAAACATGCTTCAAAAACATATTTCTATGTCTTGGGAAAAACCAAAGACAACATCTATCATGTAACCTTATAGTCCTTTATGTAAAGATTTACACTGTAATTTTTTCCCTACTCTCAGGAGAAGTTTCTAATTTCAGATTTCATTTGTCATGTAAGAACTGTCTAATTCAAGATGATTTTCTTATTGATTGACTTCCTTGAAGCTCAAAGACAGATTCAATCCTCTGTAGCAGTAAATGCAGCCCAGGTTGCCAGAAGTTTAAAACTTTGTAGTCAACTTTGAAAAAATTGAAAAATAACTCATATATTATAAAATTCACTCTTTAAAGGGGGTAAAATCGGTTGTTTTTAGTACAGTCACAATGTGTGCAATCATCAGCACTGTTTAATTCCAGAACATTTTCATCAGCTGGAAAAAATATCCTGTGCCCATCAGCAGTCATGCCCTGCTCCTCCTTCCACCAACCCTTGATAATCACGAATTTACTTTCTGTCTCTATGAATTTTCCTCTTTTGCACACTTTACACAAATAGGATCATGCATTATGTGCATATCTTGTCTGGCTTCTTTCACTTAGCGTAATGTTTTTCAGGGTTCATCCATGTTGTAGCATGTGTCAGTACTTTATTTCTGTTTATGGCTAAATAACATTCCATTGTTTGTATACATATCCCCATTTTTATTATCCATTTATCAATTGATGAACATTTGGGTTGTTTCTACTTTTTTGGCTCTTATCAATAATGCTGCTATGAATATTCAAATACATATTTATATGTGAACCTATGTTTTCAGTTCTCAAGGGATATATACTTAGGACTAGAATTGCTGGGTCAGATGGTAACTTGATGTTTAATTTTTTTAAATAACTACCAAACTGTTTTATGAAGAGCTGTATCATTTTCTACTCCCACCAACAACGCATGAGGGTTCCAATTTCTCTATAGCTTTGCCTCTGACTAAAAGGGATCACTCTGGTTGTTGTATTGAGCATAAGCTGGAAGGGCAAGGAAAGGACCAGGAAGATTAGTTAGGAGGCCACTGAAATAATCTAAGTGAGAGATTTTGGTGATTCAGATCAGTATATTAGCAGAGCACATGGTGATAAATGGTTCGATTCTGAATATATTTGGAAAGTAGAGTCAACAGGACTTCCTGACAGATAGATGTTGGTTAGGGGTTGAGAGTAGTTAACAAAGAAAAGAGCTGAGAATGACTTAAAAAGGTTTTTGGCTGGAGTAACTGGAAAGATGGGATAAAAATAAACTGGATGGGGAAGATTGTGGATGGAGCAAGTTTAGGGAGAAAGATCAGTTCTGTTTGGGACATGCTAAGTTTGGGATGTCTAGTAGACATTCAAATAGAGGTGTTTATAAGGCTCAAGTCTGGAGTTTATTAAAGAGGTCTTGGCTGGAGATATATATTTG